CCCTGGAAAACCACCTAGGAGAGTCAAGAGTGAGGAGGAGAAACAAAAAGGAAGAGTGATTAGCAGTGTGCTCCTTTGCAGGCAAGAGGTCAATTGATTTTGGAACACTTTTTCATCATTTAAAGTGGCATCTTCAGTATCAAGAGGGGTGTGATGTGATGATCATATACAAGGTTTATATCAGAACTGCATGTGTTAAAGGAGGAAGTGTAAAGAAATAATAGGCAATTATGGGTCAGCCTGATTAGCAAGGATAACCAATTTACCTGGGAATTCCTGTGACACCTCTGGCAGCAATGGGAAAACAGTTCAACTTCTCTCTTTAACCTGCATTCTGTCATGTTACATATTTAATTGTATGATTTTATCAACAAGTATGATTACATAGTATTAGTTGATTTACATGTGGTTAATATTCTAGGGTTGTAAATAAAATGCATTTATGAACTAGGAGATTAAAGTTTCAGATATTGAATTTGGCCTCTGTGTATGAGCTGAAAATTTATCTTGCTGGGATCACAATACAGTTAGTGTTACTGCAATATAGCTGGTGCATGTGTATTGTGAAATACAGCCAAGAGAAATTAATGGCTACTTTTGGTTACTTAAATTTTTTCCCATTTCCTTAAAAGCTTATTATTGCTTTTTTAAATCTGTTTCACTTATACTGAGATGTCTCATCTCTAGCATGAATAAAACATATGCTTGAATTTGCTTTACCCTAGCATTCCCCCTAAAAATTTAAAATACATCATTTAGTATCCATATTGTTCTTTGATAATGAGGATTATCTATAGGACAGTCCTTGTCCCACTTTACTGGAACATTTGTGTTGAGAAAATTATGGACTAAGGATTCTTGTTAATGATTTATTCAAGCGTGCAAGGAGCAGGATCAAACAAGAGAGAAATACGAATGAAAACCCAGCATAGGCAAAGCCATGCATTGTAGTTTCAAAGAGCCACCAGTAGGGACTCCTTTGGGAAGTGTATAATGTGCAGTGAGTGCTCTTAGTGCTTGCAGGGTTTTTTCTTATTTAAGTCTAGCTTCAAAATATAATGGGTGTAGTTCACAATGCGCTTGTCTTAGATCCTGCCTGTCTGCCCTTTACGTGCTTAGATTCAATGTTTAAGTTCTCCTAACTCTTGCTCAGAAAAAAAAGTTAAGAGCAACAGGCACCAATTTTTTCTTAAGCAATAAAAATTGCTAAACAGCTTAATGAGTAATTCAGAGCGTGACCAGATACATCTAAAATAGGGAAGTGTTTAGCTGTAGGGACTACTACTACATCTACATTAGCAACCAAACCAGGCCAGGACCCACAGTCTGCCCAGGGGCAGATGCCATGGCACAGCTCTCAGCTAAACCCACTTCCCACTAAACTGGAGAGCTTCATCCATCCCATCTGTGAGGAACAGCCCCTGGTCAGGGACATGGTCTGAGAGGTCGCTGTGTGGCACAGATCAAGATGGTGACAAGGAGCATGCTACCAGATTAGCAGATGTTGACAGTGCTTGTGTCTCCTCTGCCTTGGCTTTCTCTCATTTATTGTTATAGATGTATTCATTAGCTTGCTAAAACTTACTGCTCAACCAGGATGAGCACTTTTCTACAAATCCTGTTATGCCTCCTATTCCTTATCTGTCTAGGGATATTTTTCTTTTTTTTCCCCCTATCTCATTATTTTAGTGTAGGACTCCCTCAATTTCTCATGTTAAAGCTTTAACAGAAGCCTTGCCTGACCTAATCAGATATTAATTGAGTGGAAGAAAAGAGACCCTAGGAATGTGCTTATGTGGTCTAATGTTAAAAACAGTCAGCTGGGACTGGAAGGGCTGAATCCCAGCCTTGTTACAGTCACTGTTGGAATGGAGTCAGTGCATACATGGACTAGTTTAATTGAACTTGTATATATTGCGTCGCCAGTTGTGTCAGTATGAAGTTCTATGGGGACACCATGCCTGAAATTTGCATTAGAGAGGACAGATGAGAAAGTCTGCACAACATGTGTTTGTTTTCTATGCCTGTTTACTTTGGTTAGGTGACAGAAATCTGTTTCAAGATACGTAAATAATATTTAGCATGTGTATATTCTTCCTAAATTCAAACAGTTAAAGCTGCTCCTATATTTTATAACTATTTTCTTTTGTTATGTCACATCTCTCTGTGAATTAATCTACATTCCATAACAATCCAATTAATAAGAAATTGACAATTTTCTGTCAATACACAGATGTATAAATTACATTAATCAATTCACACTGTTTGAAGTCTTTCCTGTTCTTCCTATGAGAAACATGAAAAATCTTTCTTTCACAAGAATGCTTGTGAAACAAATTCAGCAAATTAGCAAATCAATAAGATGAATGTACTCTTAGAAGAGATCAGGTTAGTCCTGGTGCAAATCATGTCAAGCTTCTCCAGTTCTTTCAAATCCTTTTTTTTTTTTTTTCAATTTTTTAGAATCAATTAAAACTTCTGTGTCTACCAAGCTGCTGAGAAGGAAAGAGCAGAAGTGCTGCTATTCAGGCCCAGCAATTTATTTTCTGATATCACTGCCTTTGTAACAAGGAAATCAGTAGATAGCATGGCCTCTAAACATACAGTATCTTCATCACACTGAAGTATTTTTTCTGTAATCATGTGTAAAAAATTACCAATTATATATACACTAACAGTATATATTTCTGAGTCTTTTAGATATATTGCTGCATATTGCTTGCAGGCTTGCACAATAGTACAAATACACTTAGAGCAGTTTCTAATATATTTTAAAGATTACTCACACTGTAAAACCTCACAGCTTAGAACTGAATCTGGGGAAGGTCTTGGGGAACCTACTTTACTTTGAAGTACATATACTTAAAAGGTAAATTTTCAGGATCTTCACTCAGTTATTAATTATTTTAATCAATAAATATTCTATAACTTTATAAAAATATTTTCTTTCAGCATGCCAGACCTACTAAAATATTGACAGCACTGAAAAGAAAAATACTTAAACCTTGTCAGAGCCTACAGAATAAGCATTCCCGTTTCTACCTCATCTGCTGGGTCTAATCCAGCAGATATTTTAATTGCATGCTGTTTAGAATGGGGTCCAAGAATAAGCAGGATCAGGAGATGAAAAAGTGGTAGTACTACTTCTCTCCAGCAGTCCTACAGCCAACATGTTGACCATGGAATCTGGAGACTTGGGTTCCCTTCCTGTCAAGGAAGTAAAGGAAGTATCATGTCAGAAAGCAGAGGCTTTGATGTGTGTTTCCCACTCTCTCATGCTGAGCACTGTAATCGTGGTGTTGGATGAATGGGAAGGATGAGGAAAATGCCCCTGCACCACCAGTGAAGTTGATTACAGCCTGTTTACTTAGGCCTTTGTTTTGTCTGAATAAACAAGGATCTACGTACACTACATAAATGGTCAGTGTCACTACTGCTGCTGGGCACAAAGTGGAACAATGAGACACCTTAACCAAGATTTTCTAGGAAAGCATTAATAAGAATCCATCCTTGCCTTACTTAACAGAACTGCTTCTTTTGCTGTTGAAAAAAAAAAAAAAAAACCAACCCCAAAACACCTTGACTGATTAGCACCTTTTTACCGAATGAAGATATTTTTTGAATTCACTTTCTGCAATACATTTCTCAGAAATAGTTATGTGCTTTGGAGGAGCTTTAAAGAGCCAAATTAAGATCAGTGAGGCTGTGCCTGGGTCCCTATGTCCAACAGAGTACAATATACTGCAGAGTTCAGCCCTTTTCAAGTAGAATCAATATTGGATTTTATGCCTTAAAACTGTTGCCCTAGTTTAGGGCATTATGGCTTCTATAACCCTTTCGGTGCTTGGTGGGCAATTAAAAGCAATACTTTGCAATTGCTGAGTGACATAATAAGTAATTTGTATAGGACCTTCTAGTATGGATCTCTCACATCAGCTACCATGCAGATTTTAGGAAATACCTGAAAGTATTTCTTAGCAGTACCAATCATCCGTCACCTAATGCCTTTTAAATGTAAGATCTGACAAAAAAAAAATCTTTTGAGAATTACTGCTTGGAATATATTTAATGTTTATGGGAGTAGGCATGGTAAGACAGGTTCTCACTGGGAGGGAAGCAGCTCAGTGCCTCTCGGTCCCATGGATGATCTGTGAATTACCTTTATTAAAAACTGCTGAAAAGGAGTCCTAACTGCTTCGACCAATCTCTGTAATTATAATTCTGAACGTAGATTTAGATGGTGACTCTATCAAATAGACATTCAAACTTATGTGATGTGAATTTTTGATTGATCAGGTTGTTAGAAATGGGACTATTAAGGGTTTGATTTATATCTGCTTACCAAGCCAACACTGTAGCACAGGAAGTTTTACTGAATTTAGGATCTGGTAATATGTAAGTACTCTCTTGCACACAATTATTTGAATTTTTGGAGTACCAGATTAAATTGCAAATACTCTTACAGCTTTTTGAAACTTCTAAAAGCATGATCAGTAACATTTTTCGATATGTAGAGCTAAACTTGCATTTGTTATTAAGAACTAAGGGTCCTACTCTTACATGGGATGTTTGTAATTTTAAAGCATTTGAGCCTCCCTAATCAAAAGAGATAATGCTGCAAAGACTTTGATAATCAGTTTCTATATTTAAAAAAAAAAAAAATTATATATATATATAGACTCATACTGATGAAAGAATCTTAGCAGCTTCAACACCAAGAACATGAATGTTTGACTTGATCAATTTATGAGGCATTTCATAAATTCCCTGGAGACCCAACTTGAAAGCATGACTCCAGGCACAGTTTTGAACAACAAATTAGATCATGTAAATAGACTTAGCAAATTTCAGTACTTACAGGACAACTATCCTTAGAGTATCTGGGTGCTTCATGATCCTTAATGTATTTGAATAAGTCACTAAATTATTAAGACCACAATTTATATAGAAAACTGAAGAACACTAATGTAATTATTCCATTATTCTACTGTGCTTTGCAGGTCCTAAAATGGTAGAATTCCACAGCCAGCAATTTCAGATCAACTCAAAGGATGGCAAGCCACTTTTTACGGTGGATGAAAATGAGGTTGTAATTGGCACGGATAAACTTCGAGTCACAGGTTTGTAACAGTTTTAGAAATGCCGAAATAATAGCCACAAGAAAAGCACAATAAAAATGGCATTTTAAAATACATTGTTGTTTATGAACACAAGTTCTGGTTTTACCTCATTAGGAAATAGAAACTTGAAAATACTCTGACCTTTTTCATTAAAAAAATCAGTAAGAACTTTTAACAGCAAAATAACAATATATATAAAAATATGTATATATCTCTGTAAGTGTGTATTTTATTTTAAAGCCATTAGTGATTGGAACTGTACTGGTGCATTTTTTTCAGAATTAATGTTTACAGTGTACAATGTTAACTGAGGCTGAAAAAATTCTAGATATTCCACTTTGAGTTGTATTGAGTTTTAACTCTGAAAACATTTTAGACTCTCTCTGATAGTTTTTGTATGGTTTTATCTTTCAAAGTGAAAACCACTGTATTTCTGCTCTGTGTGTAGCACATCTGTCATGGAATGGTATTTGTAGTATATTTAAAATGTCATCTGTCAAAAGTAAATTTTGTCTTAAGCTATTTCTACAAATCACCAGAGTAGTCATTTACAGAGTAAGATGTCAAAGTTACCACATGAAAAGCTATTTCCTTTCATATGACCTGATAAAGTCAACCTTCATTTTCCAGGTGTGAGGTTGCATTAAAATAGGTACATCAAGGTGTGATTTCTCTTTAAGCAGAAGAGACCATCAAAAGAAATATTGCCATTATCCTGTAACTTGTTTTCAATTACATTTTTAGTATTTTTAACCTGATTGCAACTATCATGTTTAACTTTTGCTAATTACTGGTCCTCTGAAATCTTGAGGTCTTAATTTCAATGGATATATTCCTACTATTTGACTGTGCAAAACTACAAATGTGGTAGTAACTATACAATTAGTGTTTCAAAGCCAAAGTTAAGTTATAATAACTGTGTTAATAAATTTTGTTTACGCCTGAGGGTCTTATCTCAAGTTTTTTACTTTTTAACCTAATTGAAATTACAACTTTGTTTAACCAAGAAACCATATCAAATAATTATTGTTTGCCCAAGGGATGCTAAACTTTAATAGAAAAGCATGTTTAACAAAGATACGAAAAACTGCATAATTGTTAACTGATTTGGAAAAGGTCTGTCTCTCCTCAAAGTAAGTAAAAATCATTCATAAATGAGTTGAAATTGTTATGCTAAAACATGTATTCTGATTTGTCCAATATTAATCTTTACATTGCAAAGATAATAGTTTACTCTAGCAGATATTACAGAAAGACACATTGCCTGTTTCTTTCTTACACAATAGTGCAATTCAAAAGAAAATCCATTAAAGTCAGTGAGGTTATTTCAGTGTAAAATTAATACAAGTGAGAGGAGATTCATGCCTACATTGCTTCAAGTTAATTTATTAAAATTGTGATTTAAATGATACTATTAGCATGAAGGATAAATTAGTAATACTTTATGTACTGAGATAATTTTTAAACATTTAAGATAGAGAACAAGATCAATGTGAAATAAATTTTGAAAAGTTCATACCATGAGAAGCAGACTACCTCAGTCTTAAAATACACAATGAACATTTTGCAGTTTTTTTTATGTACAATATAGTGAAATATTTTATTCTCCTTATTTATGTTAATTATTAAAATCTCGGTAACAATTTGTAACAAAACCTGATAGTTTTTAATGAAAATATAATACAGCAGAGAGCAAATGTCTGTGATTTATGGTATTTCAGGAAAAATTAAAAAGTCTAAGAATAAGCTAATTCAACCCAACACCTCAGGAATTGTCCTTTTTCAGCAATTTGGTGTGTTTGACCTCATACTATGTCAGTCAGACATTTTCTGTCCCACGTGGTAGAATAAAATAGTGGAAGACTCTTTCTTTGTTCTCCTAAGAAGAGCAAATGCCCATGATCACCAAAGTGTCTCAGATACCCCACAGGGTCACAGATGGGTCCATGTTCAGACAACTGAATTGAACCTCCGGTCAACACAGTCAGTGCAGCCTAGACTGTGAGGAAAATACCTAGACCTGACATGTGGAGAGCTCTTCTGCTGACCAAATTGTCCTCTTTAGGATGAGCTCAATAGCTTGCCCACCCCCCTTGAATATAGTGTCTGAGTTCAGATGCTTAAACATATGTATCCAGCAGTGTTTGAAACACCTTAGGGTATGTGAGACGCCACATGGTACTGCTGTACCTACAAGAGACTCTTCCTTTGATCTTGACAGCTGGAGGCCAGGCAGGATACACAAAGATATTTTCAATGAGGTAGGTACATATGGTTAGGCAACTAAATTCCGCCTCTTGATGGTCTGTGACACCTACTCATAGACACTTAAATCTAAGTATATGAAACTGAAGCTCAATTTAACCCTTTATGACAATTAGTGCTACCTGAAGGAGTATGTACTCCAAGTACATCCTCTCTAATATTTATCAGTAATGATCTGCATCTTTTGCAGACATTTATTATGCTGCTACGAAGGTATCAAACATCAGTATTTTGTTCTGATAGGGTTTCATACATTCAGTTGGCATTGGTGACAGTAAAACCCACCTTGTAACAGTGCATTGGCTGGCAAAGAGACAATTGTTTTATAACTAACAATATTGTCATGGCAGAAGGAAAGAAGTCACAGCACTGGCTGGAAACAGAGTCCTCCTGCACAAATGGCTAGAGTCTGTGGCAATAGGAGTCCTCTTTTTCACTCCCTTGCCTACTCTGCAAGCTTACCAAGTAGAAAGCTGTCCATAGAAGGGAGAAAATAGCCTCAAGTAAATAAAATTATATACAATAGGAAAATGATTAGCATTCAGCAGATATAAAATGGTCTCAACTACTGCACAAAAAAACTTTCTAACAAGTGCAAATAATAATTTATATATCATGACCACTGTATTTTGGTGATGAATAAATAAGAAATTAATAGAAGGCAGTTGCCTACCCTCCACTCTTCTTGAAGAAAATCTAGTAAGGCAGAGGGGATCAATATCTTTATGGAGAAGCATAAAGCATATATGACCCTTTCTCTGGTTTACTACTTGACCTTCTTGGTTGGCTTTCATCATCTTTTAAAAGTATGTGCTGATTATTGTCAGTGATTTTCTAGTGCTCTGTTCTATGGAAGGGTTTTCAGTTTGAGTAGCCAACACTAAAGTGCAATGTGAAAATGTGTGTTTAATTTAAACACTTCTGCTCAGAAGGTAAGTAGGAGACAATTCGAGGGTATGAATAAACATTCTGTCAGACTTTGAAGAGGCACTTTGTCATATAATCATATGCTCAGTTGGAAGAGACCCATAAGGATCATCGAGTCCGTCTCCCTGCTCCTCACAGGACTACCTAAAACTAAAGCATATGACTAAGAGGGTCATCTAGATGCTCCTTGAACTCTGGCAGGCGTGGTGCCATGACCACTTTCTTGGGGCCCCTGTTCCCTTCTTCTCAGTGAAGAAACTTTTCCTAATTTCCAACCTGAACTTGCTGGCTTCAATCAGCAAGAAATATAGTATCTTGATTTTGTGTATTTTAGGATTAAATTACATTATATTAATAAACAATAGTCTGTAAAATAGTAAATTTTACAGTAAATTTAAATAGTATAATATTCATTTCATAATTAATGTTATTTATTTACAGTTTAAAAGATAAAGTAGATAATGAAGACAAGAAATCAATTTAAGGCCATTTAAAAAAAAAATAGTATAATGTTTAAACTTAGATGTTTGATGAAGACATTTTTCTCACAGGAAGGCAGGGTTTTACTCTTGCTTAGAGGTGACAGCTCTAGAATATGAAAATAAGCCTTCTTATTACCTCTTACTCCTCCACCACTAGCCCCTGCTGATGCTACCTTTCTCTCTGGAACATTAACACTGATGTTTTCTGTTGACTTTCTTTCATTAGCCCCTATTTCCATGCAAGTGATACTATCTTTGTTACCACTTACCTGGCTTTCAGGGCAGGGTGTCTGTTGTAGGAAGTAGGAATGGAGGCTGAGTTGCCTTCTGGGCCTGCAAGACTTCAGTCCTGCAGTCCCACCTCCTAGGACAGTGCTCTGTAATGCCATACAAAATGTGCAGTGCCCAGCGTCAGGGGACAGCTGGGAGCAAGCATTCTTGATGTCTCCCAGCAAAGTGAAGCTCTGCTTCTGGCTACATGCTGTCTTATTTCTTGCCTCTTTCGTGATTCACCTTCAAAATGAACAGCAATGGGTGAGATCCCCAGAGTTGTTCTCTGCTAAGGATGGACTTCAATCTTCTCCAGTGAGAAGGGAATGCTCCAACGACAATGCTGTTTTATGAAGGCATTTGGAAAGGGTTTTGGGTTTTTTTTTGTTAAAATGCTGTAATTGCTGGGGTTTAATGCTGATTCCAGTGCTCTTGATTTGCACAGGCTGAGAACTAGCAATACAGTAGGGCTTCTCTGGTCTCCCTCTGCTCTCTCTGCCTTGTTTCTGAGCCACAGTGACACTTAGGCCAAGAAACCTGCCATCCGGGACCGAGACATGGGAGCAGATCTGTAAAACAAGAATCTGCTTTATTTCAAACATGGCTTGAGCACTCAGGCCTCACAGATCTCTCTTTGTGTAGTTGTTTGCTCCTCTCCTCCAATCAGTTTTGCCAGGCTCCTCTTTGTGACATCTCTCTGTGCATATCTGTTCATCTTAAGTGCAACAAGTCCAAACCTTGATAAAAATGTGAAAGTTGGACTAGAAGAGGCATGTGATTAATCATCTCACATCCCTTTCATAGACAGATGAGTAGGTCATATAATTTTTTTTTTTTAAATTTTATCAAGCTACATCTCAAATGCAACCAAACACTATTAATTTGTATACCACTAAATGTACACTTCTGCCTAAAAGGTGCTGTAAGAGAAATAAAAAAGGCAGTATATAAATGGGTCCCAGAGTGAAATTGGGAAAGCAATCCTTTCACTGCCATGATTTTTCCTTCCTTGTGCCCTACAGCTCTGCACATCCCATAGCAAGACATCCTGAGGGCACCTCTGGCATGTGGCATCCCACGTGTGCTGCGAGGTGCCCCCAGCAGCCTGTCAGCCCACTCATGAGCAGGCTGCAGATCTAGTTTTCAGGGTGGCTTTAAAAGTGACCTCAAGACTCAGAAGGGCATTCTGAATTTTAGTTAGAAGAGAAGATTTCTGAGTTACAAAGTTTAGGAATGTTGTCAAAGCAAAGTATTCAGGATCAGAAAATATTACTGGACAACCTAGTTTGAGCTTAAATAATTGACAAGGGAGCTTGTGTATAGAGAGGTAAGCCTAAACATGGATGACCTGATAAAGTCATATTTGCAAAATAATTGATATCCCTTTATTAGGGATTTGTCCTTTTCATTACTGTCACCTCTTTTGCAGTGCCTGTGTCATCTGAAATCATCAGTAATTTTCTCTTCCAAATCCATGATAAAATGTTACATCCCATTTGGCCCCACTAGTAACACATCCCCTCACTCATCGTTCTCTGTTTGCAATTATGTTTTAAGACCTATCAGTCAATTTTAATCCATATAATGCATTCCAGGCTGATTTGTGTTGCTCTAATCTCTTAATCAAAACATGATGTGGCATCAAAGTAGATGCCTATGGAAGTTTATTACACCCATACTATTACCTTTATCAGCCAAGCTTGTCATCTCATTTACAATTCAAAGATATAAATATATTTAATAATTTCATACT